GGTTGGACGTAGAAAGTTGAGTGACCAAGAACAATTGGCCTCTGAACAGCGACGTAAAGAACTACAACATCTGACATATTTAAGAAATAAAGAAAAGTGAAGGAAGTCTTACATCGATAAACTTAGAAAAACGTATTCAATAAGAACAGAGGGGGAAAAAGGCAGACGAAGATTTGTAAGGGTGGGGTTGGACGTAGAAAGTTGAGTGACCAAGAACAGTTGGCCTCTGAACAGCGACGTAAAGAACTACAACATCTGACATATTTAAGAAATAAAGAAAAGCGAAAGAAGAATTACATCGATAAACGAGACCATATTAACGACACACGTAGAAAAACAGACGAAGATTTGCAAGGGTGGGGTTGGACGTAGAAAGTTGAGTGACTTGGTTGCGTTTTACAAACTTGATCAACCCCCCCCTAGGAGCTCCGAAAGGAGTGCCCTGCTCTAGTAATATAAAAAATGTCAAGAAAGTCATATATTCTTTTGGTAGCTCTCATAATTTATTTTCTATTGCCTGATTCTGCTGTCTAGCAATAACTCAAATAGAAAACTGATTAAATATCTCCTGATTGCTTATTGGTTGTGTTATTTTTTTCTGTGTGATTTATGATATTGTAAAATTTGAATGAATTGTTGACTTAAATATCCTTTATAAAGTACTGAAGTATTTTAAATTGTTTTTTAAGGAATTTTTATATGTTTAATGTTTCCTTATCAGCTGTATAGGTTACATAGTGTTTATAAGTTGGTTTTAATTTATAATACTGAATATATAATGGTTGTCTTTAATGCTGAATGTTTATTGTACTACTCTAGTAGAGATAATTTCTACAATATCCAGAGATAAAACCAATTTTATTTCAGTATCAACAAAAATGTTTCCTTCTGTACCATCAAAAGTAAAGAAGAACATTGTGAAGCTTCTCACATATTATTCGAACGGAATACCAAGTGATCAACTCCTCAGTCGATATATGGTATGTATGTATATTACTTGTTAAATTGTATGTTTTAATATTTGAGTCTCTCAGTGTGATTATTCTACTGAATAAGAACAACATTTGGATCATACATATTAAATAATTTGTGTTAAAAAGGGAATTTATGTGTTATCTAATAAGGAACAAAAATTAAGTAAGGAAGAATGTATGAAGTTATCAGTATATATTTTTGAGAAAACTGAGGAATAAGGTGTGGGTTGTCTCTTCTGATATAATAAAATAGATATGGAAGAGGCAGATTGTTGTAATTTTTGCTCACATGAACTGTAATAACATAACTCAACCTAAAGTAATATATGTCATGTATGAGAGGAAGGTTGTTCTGGAACCAAACCTAGTTTTTCAGTTTTCTTTTACTTGTCAGTCTTTGATCATGTCATTAAAATTCATAAATCTGCTTTGAACAAATCAAAATAAATTGATAAACTATTCAGATTTCATAATTTTATCCACTAAAAAATGCATCTTTATGATTGTATAATGCAATAAAATTATCTCTCTAATGGATTCTTACTGTATTCATATTAATGTGTTAGAAGTGCATCAGCATTGAAGGAAACAAGAAATATTATATTACTCTATTTGTTATGTTGATAAGTCAGAAGATATTTAATTAAGATTATACAAACATTGATTCCTGAAGTAAATAAACTGATGATGAATTTATGTAGATTTGATGTAAAAGGAAACCTACCATTGTAGGCCAGTTTTAGAACATTGTTACACACTGACTGTGTGTTTAACATATGATGCAGTGTTGTTTCAGAAGACCAGTAGTTTATTCTTAATGTCAGTGAGATTATAGTAGCCTTCCTTGCATCATTCATGAATATTTTATACCTCATGCTTGTTAGTGTCCAGCAGATATAACTTTGTCTTGTTTCAGGAAGTGTTCTTGACTTCATTCAGTATACAAGAGATGGGATTTGACACAATGGAGTCATTTCTTCTGTCTCTCAATGATACGGTTTTGCACATGCGCTATGTAAACAAGAAGATACTTGTATATCCTCATGCTTATGATACAGAACCAGAATTGGGTAATCCATTACCACATATAACTGAGGTAAGAGTGTTACAGAAAAATTTTCATTCCAATTTTAGTGCCATTTATCAGTGTGATTTTCAAGATACTTCGTAATGTATGATCAACCATGAACAGGTGAGAGCTTGGCTAGTTAAGAAATTCCTTCTTATTGAGCCTGAAGATTCATTACCATGTTCACAAAATTATGGCTTGAGCCCCGATCCTGAAGCAGTTGCATCCATTTCACACCTTTACAACATAATTGAGATTCCTTTTATTTTCCTGTGATTTACATATAGGTCTGTCATCATTTCTTTTGTCTTACATTGTTCTAATCAGACTTTTGAATGCACATGTTATTTCCCAATTGATGCTGAAATTTTTGTAGGATTTAGAGAAATAAATGTTGGTAAAAGCTGAGGCAGCTGTGTGATGAGACATGGTATTCATTCCTCTAAAAAAAATTGTAACTTAGAATATATTATACAATGAATTAGAATTTCTGGTAAGGCTTGCTTTCCTTTAACCCTTCATCACAAGAGATGGAGCTTTAAATTCAGAAAATGAAGCTTGCTTGAACTAATATGACGTGACTTACAAAAATTTAATTTGTACAGTTTTTTAAATCTCTACAATTACAATTTGTTAAGCATTGTGTTCCTTGAAATTATTTATTTATTTGTAGTTTCTTTAACAGCACTGCTAGCAGTACAGACTACATAGCATCATTAATAGTGAATTGGAAATTATGTGGAAGGAAGTGGTCATGGCCTAATTTGAAGTACTATCCTGGAATTTGTCTGAAGAGGCACAGGAAAACTGTCAAAACCTCATTTAGGATAGCATGTCTCTGGTGCA